GCCCGTAGCAATGGGCCAGACACCCCATACTCCCGCAACACCTCCCTCAACACACTCGTTTCCACTGATGTATCCTAATAACACATAAATTAAAGGACTGTCTCTCGAGGAAACAAGAAGAGCTAGCAGCTAACCCACTCCAAGGCTAACCGTTTGCAAAAAGAAGAAAGAAAAGAAATTCAACTCTGTTTGTGCAACTACTTACATTTTTTCCAATTTGTAAATACTTTTTAAAGACAAACAGAAAAAAGGGCATTTGTTTTTTAAGTAAATATCTTATTTAATTATCCAATACAACTTTGAATATACAATGCCTCATTATTCTTCTGTCTGATTTTAAGTAAATGATTTACAAATAAAAGTTTGCCAGCAAAGAATTTAGATTGAAATACCAAAAAGAAAGGAACAAACAAGGGGATGTTTTTGTGTCACATGAAAGGCTCCTCTCTTCAGCTCAAAATCCATCAAGGAAAAAGTTTCTCATACTGAAGCAATGTGCGGCTCTACAGGTTTTACCTGCAGCACCTCTGCAAAGCCTTGTCCAAACCAGCAGGTGATGTCAGCCGTGTCAAGGGTGAAGAAAAAGAGTCTGTCCTTGCAGCGAGTCCTCCTGTAGACGGATCGGGGGTCTGCTGACAGGACCCCTCTGATGGCAGCGACTGCCTCCTCTGTACTGCGCAGAAACTTAAACCGGGGTCTGTGGCTTTCAGACAGTCCTGTGTGTTACACAAGTTTGGTTTTCAGTCTCTCTGCTCACATATGAATGAAGGCTTTCACATTAATTACTGATACAACAGTGCCCCCTTATGGAGACAAACATACAGTGCATCTGGAAAGTATTCACAGCGCTTCACTTGTTCCACATTGTGTCATCTTACAGGCTTATTCCAAAATAGATTAAATTCATTTCCAACTCAAAATTCTACACACAAACCACCATGATGACCAAGTGAAACAAAATGCTTGAGATGTATTAAAATAAAAAACAAATATACAGCATGTACATAAGTTATCACAGCCTTTGCCATGAAACTCAAAATTAACCTCAGATTCCACTGATCATCTGTCAGATGTTTCTACAGCTTGACTGGATATGATTTAGAAAGGCACACACCTGTCCACATACCGTAAGGTACTATAGTTGTTGGTGGATGTCAGAGCACAAACCAAGCCACAGAAAGATTTCTGCAGCATTAAAAGGTTCCAGTGAGCACAGTGGGCTCATCATGCGTAAATGGAAGAAGTTTGGAACCACCAGGACTCTTCCTACAGCTGACCGCACGGCCTTCCTGGGTAATCAGAGCAGAAGGGCCTTAGTCAGGGAGGTGTCCAAGAACCTGACTGTCACTCCTACAGAGCTCCAGTGTTGCTCTGTGGAGAGAGGAGAACTTTCCAAAAGGACAGACATTTCTGCAGCGTGAGACCTCTATGGTGGAGTGTCCAAGTGGAAGCCAGTCTTCAAAGGCTGATGACAGCCCACATGGAGTTGCCCAAAGATGCCTAAAAGACTCTCAGACCTTGTGCACCGTCACTCTTCATTCAACCTGACAGAGCCTGAGGGGCACTGCAAAACTGGAAGAAACTGTCCCCAAATAGGTGTACCAATCTTGTAGCATCATACTCAAAAAGACCCGAGGCTGCCAAAGGTGCTTCGACAAAGTATTGAGCAAAGGCTATGAATACTTATGAACACTTTTGTTTTTTATTTTTAATAAATGTAGTCAATTTATGAATTAATTTAATGAATTGCAAGCCAACATTTATCTCTTTGTCATCACAGGGTATTGTGTGTACAATTTTCAGGTGAAAACTGAATTGAATCCATTTTATAATAAGTCTGTAACAAAATATGAAAACAGTGAAGCGCTGTGAATACTTTCCAGATGCGCTGCATCTCCCATG